AGTTGCTCCTACAGAAACACGAAGTATATAATTCAAAGAAAGATCGATAGTTACAAAAAAACAAAAACCCTAAAAGAGGAGTTGAATTTCAAGAAAGATTTAGTCAAAAAATTAATTAAAGGATTACTTTCTTGACCACCGAGTCGCTCCACAGCTCGCACGAATATGAGATGAAGTTCTGGAGTCCATCTCAATCGAGGCATCTTGGATCTAACATATTGCCTTACTCGAGTAGATGCATCCATCTTCTCACCCTCTACTTGATCCACCACACTGTTATTCCCTGAGCTCTCACTTGACTTTGCCTTGTTCCCCTCATGTCTTTCATCATCATCATCATCATCATCCTCGAGTTTCCTGCAACAAAAGTGATCGTTCATATCTGAAAAATCGCAATCACCATCTTCCATCATCTTTCCTGATTAATCTTTCCAAGCTTTTGAACACCAGAAACTAACTGACATCAGTTGTTGAATTCATCAATCTTTAAAGAAACATTGTCATGAGAACACAGTCTGCCTTTTCAAATTATAGCAAGTCTTGATGTGATAAATTTAGCTTTGAATCTGGGAGGTAGATGGGCATGACTAAGACCCTTTGAAAATCGAAGCATGGACTTGTCTATATGTATGCTTCAATAAATAAATGAAATATTCTGTTCTAATTGCATGTACATACATACATAAACATACATACATACAATAAATGCATGGGCCATCACCATATATGGGACCATGTGTACTATGTGTGGAATGGACTTAATACATAGATCAAGTATATTTAAGCATGGAGAAAGGTCAGCTAGCTATGGCTAAATTTTCAAAGAGGAAAATCGTCCATGAGTTATATATAGAGGACTTCTTCACCATTCCATACCCTACCCCTCTATATTAATTAATGCTATTTAATTGTATGCCTAATTTCTAGACTCATAACACCCTACATAGTCTTTGCGATATATACCACGACCCGATCCTACACTATTTTCTTTTCATGGGTTCACATGCATATATAATCTTTCTTATAACTTATAACCTTCTTAATCATATATATCAGTCACGTAATTAATTGGATAGGACTCGATCGGACCACATGCATATATGGTTGATATGGTCAGCGTTTCTCACGAGGCAATTTCATTAATTTATATCAAATATATACATTTGAGTCATGTTGTAAGTGTTTGTGGTAAATATACTTTTGTTATTTGCATTAATCAATCTACGCTATATACGTTTTTATTACGTAAATTTAACTAGGAGTGTGCAAAAAACAACACAAACCGTACAAACCGCCCGCACCGCATACTGCGATTTAGAATTTCGTGGTGCGGTTTGCGATTCAAATCATGATTTAGAAACGATGTATTTAAATATATTTCTTACAATAATCAAATATCTATAACGTAACATTAAATCACTATTAAATCAAGATCTCACAGTTTACAAGAATATAGCAACTATAACGGCAATATAAAGCAATAACAGGGACACTTACAAAACTATAGTAGCATGAATCATAATTTATTAAAAACGATTTAACTTGAAAATTGTATTTGTTTTTATGAAATAAAAGCAATCAATTTTTGTTAACCGGATCAGTTTTTTGGTTTTTTGATAGATTTAATGTTGAACAACTCATCAAACCGCACAAACCGCAACCAAACCGCATAAACCGCCCGCATCAAACCGCACCGCATAACGCGGTTTTGAACATTTGTGGTGCGGTTTGCGGTTTCTAAAATATTCAAACCGCATATGCGGTGCGGTTTGCGGTTTTGATTCTAAACCGCACCAAACCGCACCGCGCACACCCCTAAATTTAACCATTTTATATAGCGAATCTACCATTTTACTGTGTAATTCAAAAAATTTGTTTTTTATGTACGTAACATTTAGGTGAAATGGTAAAAATCATAAGTTTGTTACATTAAATTATTAAAGAAAATATATGATGGATGGATGAAATGATACAAATTAAGTATGTTACAAATTTTTACATTTTATATAATGTTCTATATATTCTAATCAAATGGGTAAAAGAATGCATGAATCAAACGATTTAATTATTGTTCAAAACATCTTCAAAGTGTTATTAATATTTTATAAGCCTAATAAAGGATCGATTTTGTACTTGGTCATATTTTAGTTTTGTTATCAATGTTACGTTCCTTCCGTCTTATATTTATTATTTATTAGTTTATAACCCGTGATAACCACGGTTATAAAATTAATTAAACTTTCGTATTAAAAAATCAAAATTATTAATCAATTATTTTAAATAAATTATTATTTAAGAGATATTTTTTTATTTATATAAAATTATAATCATTGATTTAAATAAATACGTGAAGTTATATCATTTTATAGTTTATATTAATTTTATTATATTTTTAAATCTAATGTTATTAATTTAATATAATGAAAGGAAGAAATTTTAAAATTTGAAATTTAAAATGAAGAATCAATTATTAATTTAATAAAATTAGAGTGAGAAATTTAAAATTTGAAATTTGAAATGAATAATTAATAGGTTGATAAGTAGCATGATAAATGATATATAACATTAATGAGAAGCTCTAATTGCATGACACTTGTCAATATAAGATTAAACCTATTCTTTTATTAAAATAAGAAGATTTTTTGTTTTTGAAATATTTATTCTTTAATTTTAATTTTAAATATATTTGTTTGTGTTATAAATTACTTGATGAAACTTATAATAATGAAGAGATAGATAAAACAAAATTCATTTATATATTTTACATTAAATATTATATATCAAAAATAAAAATAATTAAAATCAAATTAAAAATAAAGGTTTCAAAAATAAAAATAAACAATAAATATGAGACTTATGCCCATTTCATAATAATATATAAATTTATATTGAATTTGTAAAATATTAAATAAGTAATAAAAATGATAATGTTAATATGTAAATTAATAAATAAAAAATTGGTAAATAATATTTTAATTTATTTTGTGAGTTTTGAAATTAGTGGTGCGCGGCCCAATGGATGCTATCCGGTATGTCGGTCTTTGACGGATTCCTTTTGGGTTACTGTTATGACTTATGACCCTCTCCTTCTTCTCCGTTGAAAAAAACAAATTTCTTCTTTTTCCCCGTAAGATTCCTCTTGTTCACAAATTCATTCTAGTATTTTTCTTTCGATTTTTTTTTTTCAAATTAAACAATAATTTTCGTTGCATAATAAGGGTAAACTACACGAATGGTCCCTGTGGTTTGTGTTAATTTGCATGATTGATCCTACTTTTTTTTTTAATCTCGGATAGTCCATATTTTATGTTTTTGTTACATGTTTCAAATGTACAAAATGCTATTTTACCCTTAATAGTTTATTTTTTTTTAATATTTTTATTGGGGACAATAACTTAAAAGGATAATATGTTTTTCGATTTGTACACATTTTGTTATTGAGTTTTATCAATCCATTTAACTTGTTAAACTATATACATTCAGTATTTATGACTGATTGACTTAATATGCTAATATATTTCTCACTTTTTACACATTTAGTCCTTAATATTTTTGTATACATTTACTCATTAATATTGTTTTATTGCAAAATAAGTCATTTTTGTTTTTGTACTTATTTAGTACTTATAAATGATTTTTTAAAAGTTTTTCTTATGATATTTTACGTAAGACAATCATTAATAAGGTATTTAGGGCTTTTGATACTCATGTCCATCACGATCTCGACTACTTGGTTGTTTAGGTCATATATTGTTAACATCATAATTTTTCTTCATACGATCTCAGATTTTAACGATCTTTATATCCATGCATTCATATTTTAGTCTACTACAACATTCGTTTAGATTACTTCCGTTAAAAAATAATATATTTTTACTTACGACCTTTATATCCATACGTTTTTTATGAATACATGTATGTAAATATTTTTTTTTATAAAATCGTAACTAAAAATATATTATATTTTAACGATAATAATCTTAATGAAAGTTGTAGTATAATAAAAAAATCAATACATGGATATAAAGATCGTTAAAATATGGTATTGTATGAAGAAGTTACAACATTTAGAACACAAGACCTAAGCCAAACCACAAGACCTACGCAACCAAGCAGTCGAGATCGCGATGAACATAAACATCAACAGCCTAAAGAAATCATTCATAAGTATTGAATGCGTACGAAAACAAAAATGACTTATTTTGAAACAAAAAAATATTAAGGACTCAATGAGTACAAAAATATTAAGGACTACATGTGTACAAAATAAGAAATATATTACCATACTAAGTCATTTTTACAGGTTAATCTGGAGTAATCGGTCATAAGGACTGAATGTGTACAATTTAACAAGTTGAATGGGTAACTGTGGACGGAAAAAAAAAAAAAAAAAAACTCAGTGACCAAATGTATACAAATCCAAAAATATATTACATTTCTATGTCATTATCCATTTTTATTGTTTATTTGTCGTTTTTTAAATTAAAAAGGAAAAAAAAAATAAAAAAGTAAACACCCCCACCAACCACACCCCCAACATTTTCTGCTTCCCTTTCCCCTTTTCCTTCTCCATTTATATTTTAGTTTTTCAGTTTTTCTTTCTACCTACATGAGATCCCTACAGTACACTACCACCCACCATTGAGGATCTCTCTTATCTCACCAGAAACCTAACTATCATCGTCTCATCAATTACTGTGTTGTCGAAAACCTCACAAGAAGCTGATAACCACAGTTGTCAAAAAACGAGCCCTGACCGTCCCCTGTACTTCCCTTTCGTCGGAAAACTCACAAGAAATCAATAACCCCCGAGCACGCCACCAACGTTGTTGCCCGTCGCCAAACCTCATTTCATCGACATGTACTCCCACCTTAAGTTTCATTTATATGAATCCCTCAAATGTCATGGCTGGAAACACCGTCCAAAGATCTATAATCTCGATCTTGTCTTCTCCACCTTGCCTCCTCTCTCAGAGTGACCCAATCATGCCTCAATCTACGAAAACCACTTCTTCACCATGTATAGAGACCTTTCTCTGTCACACTATGATTTTAGTTTATTTATTTGGTTTTTCTTTTCAATGAGTTTATTTATATAATCATCATATCAAGAGATATCAAGAGATATGTAAGAGGAAGAACGATTAATTTGTTGGGTCGGTTCTTTGGTTTGTTAGTTTGGTCGTCGATCCTTAGCCTCATTCAAATGAGTTTTGAGTGGTTTGTGTTTGATCACAAGATAATTGTTGTTTAATTCCTCAATGAAAGCATCAAGGCTGGGTCCCATTTTTATCTTTAGAGCTTTGATATACGTGTTTACATCTTATGGATTGTAACGCATGTAAATTTGGGCTAGACGTTTAGAGTATAATAATACTAATAATAATAATAATAATAATAATAATAATAATAA